ACTTTATTTTATTGTCAAAAGTGGATCGGGTCGAGTTTAAGAACTTACTAAGTAACAGCCTATTTATTACCCAACAATTCAACTCAAAACTCACGCCGATAAAGTCGATATTTTCAGCCTCTCTTATCGGCCGATAAGTGCCTTTATCGCTGATAACTCACCGATAAACCCATAAAAATAATAACCGATTAAAAATCCTACTTATCCTAGCGGTAAGCTCCCAAGTTCGATAACTCGGTGATAATATCAGATTATCGGCCGATATTTAAAACCATGATTGAGAGACTAAGTAGCAGTTTCAATGACCTTGAGGGACTAATTTCAAAATATGAAATATTGAAGGGGCTAATATTGGAAAACCCTATTTTAAGTTCATTTTATATTTTAATAGTTAGGTATAAATCTAGGTTGCTATATTTTTCTATGACTTTCCATATTTTTGTTCTAGGTTATTAAATATATGTATATATTTAGACCAAAGGTATATAATGTAAATTGCTACAATTTTTGCAACTTGCTATATTTTGCTCTAAGTGTTAAGTATATAGTGTATTTTTAAATAACATTCTTAAACCATTATTTTGACTTTTTCCACACTAATATTGTAGCATCACGCAATGTAAACATATTTGTAGCCTATAACTGTTTTTGTCTATTTTTAAAACTACTCACTTCTCAAAATGGTTTTATTGTTTGCAATCACGAAGTTTTATCCCAAATTGCTTTTAAACTCATCCACTTCCAAAATCAATCTTAAATCCATACCCCAACAAAATAATTTTAGATCTAATATGTATTTCAGCAGTTTATGGTGTTTGTTGCTATATTTTATTGTAGCTTCCTATATTTTTGTTGTAAGTGTTTAAGTACTCTGTATATTTTTAAACTAAATATTTAAACCGTTATTTTTCAAAAAATTTCACGCTAATTCCGCGACATCGCATTGGTTAATTTTGCTCATAAATTACTACATAGTGCTGGCATGTCATCAAAATTTAACAGAAAAAATTAAAAAAAGACCAAGTTGGTAACAGGGTAAATGTTAGTAACCTCTATATATAAGTTTCAAATGTTAAAAACCCAAATAAAATCAGGCTAAAACATTAGGGACCTACGTTGAAGTTTGGCCATGTTGAAATGAATGGAAATTAGGGGTGTGTTTTTCATGATATTTGATTTGATGTATATTAGTTAAGAAATATTATGAATATAACAACCAATGCGTATAGGTATGAATTTATAATTGATATGTTGCGAAACATGAACTTTGATGCTAGATACGTGTATGACATGATACTGGAGATATGACAAATTTTGTATGTGCACATATCTATACGACATATTTATATGTGCATGTGTATCATGTGTGTGTGTGTGTATGATATATGCACACACAAGCATCGGCAGTGATAGGGTTAAGGAAAATATTATAAGAATGTGGGCATCAATATGTCATGGACATAAAGAGAACAAATATTTATGCATGTTTAAAAAAGAGATACTGCATAAGTGTAATGCATCTATAAATAAGAAAAATCTTGAACCCATGATTTATTTATTAGATTTTTAACTTCTTGGTGTCAGATGCATTTGTTATATGTTATCAATTCTATGAGATACACTGCATATTAAGATACGTTAGTAGGAGTATTTGGCACATGTGTGTCAAATATGAGTACCCAAGCAGTAGGTATCCATGCAGGTATAAATCCTCCTCTGAAGATTGGTACTACGTATGGTATTACTTAGGAGATTCTTAAGTAGAATACATCAGGATAAATATATAAATGAATATTATCTGCAAACAAGATGCCACCCTTATTTTATTTGCCTAATGATTAGCACATACGTAAAGAAACTTCTGGTGTAAGACGAAATACCTAAGTAACACTCCATTCTTGCATTTTCGAGATGAAACATCGAGAATTGAGAAGTGAACATGTAATCAGGTTCACCATTCATTGAGTTGAGCAAGCAAACACAAAATCAACATTGCAAGAATTACCTTTTCATCATTGCAACAAAGGATATCATAGCATATTACGTGCATTCTGCCTGAACTCACTTAGAGAAGATTTAGGGTTTTCTCAAACCTGGATCATCCTTTGTGCAATCCTTGTTATTCCATCATAGATGTATTGGCAATCTAGTAAGCAGTCCTCAGTACCCACCTTAGATATAAGCTGTTGAATGCACAAGAGTAAAGAAAGCAGTTATTACTTCTTAGTGATCACCCTAGATATTATCTGTTGAGTGCATAAGAAAAAAACAAAGAAGTAAACTTTAGTTGCGTGTTTCTGTGAATGCCTATGTTAACAATGATTGAGAGAGGAGGGTTCCAGTATAATAATGATGCGAAGTTACATAAGTGCTCCCTTTATGCCCCTTCTAGTTCTTAATCTCAATAGATGACCTCATGATGAAAACTCATACCCTTTTCTACAAGGTTTTAAATGTCGGATGTCGGGTTCATGTCGGATGGTTGAAATCTATGTCGGATGGTAAAAATCGGGGATATATCGGGGGACATGGACTAAATATCGGATTGTCATATCGGGTGGTGTGTATATGTATAATATTATGTTCTAAATGTAATCTAAACATTCCTAAATTCAATATAAGCATACTTTATAAATTCTAGAGGCGGCGCCGACGATGAGTGGATTCCGACGTCGCAGGGAGGCAGTGCCGGTGACAAGACGTCGCAAGGCGACATTGCCGATGATGAGACGTTGTAGGGATGCAGTGCCGGGGCTCTTCTTCTTTTTCTTCGTCTGTTTGTGGTCCTTCGGATGAGTCACTGACCACCCTCTTCCCTTTATCCCGACGACGGGATACCCTGCCGCCCTTAGGTTTGGTTGGAGTTTGGATTTTGGGGCGCAACGGGAGATGGACGACGGGGGTCCGAGATGGAGGTGGGGAATGACGTCGTCGTTCACGAAAGGAGTGATCGTTTCCCAAGTCCGCTGTAGCCCTAATTTTTTTTTTCTTTCTATCGGTTTCATAAGAAACCCTTAAACATGAGAACAGGTCAAACGAGTTTGAGTTTTTATCACTAAATTTAAACCCGATAACAAAAAATTGATCTAAAAAAGGGTGATATCGGTCGATTTTTTAAGGCTGAAAAATCGGTCGATGTGCCCGATATGGCCTCGATATTTTCAATTTGTCCCTAAAAATCGACATATGAGTTGAAAACGCCCATGTCGTGTCGCTCAAGCCCTCAAACCGATATGTTGGCCGACATGTCGGACATGTCGGACGACATTTAAAATGTTGGTTCTATGGACAATATGGCAATATCACCATCCTGAAGGGGGCTAGTATTGACAAATATTCAGAAAAGTAAGTTTCATGGGAAGATGTTTATAAGAATAGAACTCTATCACAATAAATCTGCATTTACGTTATCAGTCTATAAATGCTATCAACAGAAACGGACTCATCATCTACTTCCTCTCAACACTGAAGCCGACTGGCCTTCTTAAAAGGGGGGAAAATGTTCCCTATGATACATTCCTTGAATTGAGAAATGACCATTTATTATTCATTCATTATTCATTGAGGTAAGCAGACCCTATACAAAACTAAGATTGCAAGAATAACCTTCCAATTATTGAAAGAATTTGAATGAAAAAGAATATTAGGTATTTCTTAAACTTGGACATTATTAGTGCACTCCTTGCTATTTAATCATTTATGGTGTTGGGGATCTAGAAGCAGTAGTCAATACCCACCCTAGATATAATCTATTGAATGCACAAGACGAAAGGCACAAGAACAAATAAAGAAACAAACTTCAGTTGCATGTTTCTGTGAATGCATACTTTTACAAGAATGCTCCTCCTATGCACCTACTAGTCCTGATTCTCAATGTATGACTTTATGGTGAGACTCCTACCCTCTTTTATGGATAAAACAGCAATATTGCAATCCTGAAGTGGGCAACTACAGGAAAAATATTCAGAAAATCATGTTGATCTTCCACCATTTTTGTTGCTGATCTCATCTCTTCTTGAATCACACTATTCCTGGCCTTTATTGACGTGATAATTGCCTTTACTTTGCATTTTTCATTCTTGGCACCTAACCAGTGACAATAAGCTCAGACACCATTTATTTAGAACCTGCTGAAAATCTTACATTCCTTGATATATCTAGTAAGTACGCAAGAATGTTGGTAGACATTAGTTTGTTTATATAGGTTTTAGTGAAGATTCTCCACATTTCCTGAATTTATTATTTATTTATTTATTTATTTATTTAATATTATGTTATTTAATTATTTTATTGTTATTATTATTATTATTTGAAATAGAGAGGTGGATAAGTCCCAGCCTTTGTCCTCCTACAAAAGAAAATTTTCAATCAATGATACAAATCCTTTCCTACGGCACTGTAATTTAAGCAAATGTGGTAATTTGTATGATAAATTTTAGACAGACATTGTGGAATTATAGACCTGCTAGTAAAACACATGGTTAGTTTCAGTATTTGCATTTTGTATAAATTCTGAGATATCAATATTATTGCTGCTGTCATGATGAGTTTACAGTTAAAGAATCAAATTAACTGTACTACCTCCATGCTTGAACTGTAATTATGCTGTCCACCTTCTTTAAATTAAATCTGATAAAATTTTTCTTTGTTTTTTTTAAAAATAATTTAAAGGGTTAAAAATTGGACTTACTTCCTCTGTAATATTGATGCAGATAGACACCCTGAAAGAGTTTCTATTCTTGCAGGTAGCCCCCCCTGAGTGTAAATCTATTGATGCAGACAGACCCCCTAAAATGGGTCAAGAATATTTTACTCAGGGTTCTACCTTCAGAAATAGAATTACAGGGATATTAAGTTCAAATTGGATAAAGTACAAGGGGTCTATCCATAATTAACCCTAATCTAGATTATGAAGTAACTTTTGTCTATTGCTATATAGCCTGCTATGTACTTTTGCAAAGCATTGCCAAGTAACTGTCACGTGCTATGGTTCAGTGCAGGCATCAAGAGGCATTTTTTGTATATGCTGGTTGCAATTTAATTTTGGCAGCTGCAGCGGCAGCGCTATGTGCTTATATTGCACCTGCAGCAGCTGGTTCTGGCATACCTGAGGTGAAAGCTTACTTAAATGGTGTCGATGCTCATTCTATATTGGCTCCTAGCACTCTCTTTGTAAAGGTATTCAAATTATATTCTTTCTTATGTTTCTCTTTGGCTTATTCTATTAATAAAGGATTGCAAATACGAGTACAATTGTGTCAATAAATTTTTAATGAACAAAAAAGGGGCTATTGTCCATATAAGAAATGAACCTTATTGTGGTTCTTGTAACTTAGTATTGCTTGTATTAATTTTTGATGTTTGTTAAAAAGTTTAGTTCTTTAATATTTCAAAATCATGTTCCTATTTATTAAATTATTGTGGATATTCTTATGTTTCTTTTAAATTTAAAAAAACTAAGCGTGTAATCTATGTTATGCATTATACAATACACACATTAACCTGTTGGTAAGGGCAGAGCCATATTGTGTTTAGGTTAGGCAAGTGCCTAAGCTGAACTTGAGATGTTTATATTTGTATTAGACTTACATTCTTATTAATTAACCTATATCATGTGTACCACTATCAATCTTTTGTATTCTGTGCCCCACAGTCAGAATTCTCAGCTTAAAATTTAGTAAATATAAAGCTGAAGTGACATTGTTCATCTGAGTTAAACCATACCGTCAACTCTGATACACCCAATTGATAGTGTTCTCTTCGATTTTGGGTATAAAAATTGCGGTTTAGAGATTTTCTCCTCTATGATTTTTTTTTCTATTGAAACATTTTGATTTTAAAAAATATGTTTAACTTTTAGTGCCTAGTCTAGATAAACGTTCTAGCTCCATCCCTGGCTATCGAGTGGCCGAGGCCTATGTCACAAACTATCATCCTTTCAGCATTTGTTTTCTTTGCTGCCATCAACATTTGGGGCTTAAAGCCAAAATTAGAATATTCTGAGTTTTCTTGTAACATTCATGCTAATGCAGGATCATATTCAGGGTTTAAACTTCTACTGCATACCCTTTTTTTAAATCCTTTCTCTGGACATAGCTGTCATCTTTATCTTTTACTATGATATTATACATAGACATGAATATCATGCTTGGACATAGACATGGGTGATGTCAGACTATGAAGCACGGACACGCATAACATGAAGCTGTGTCGTGTCGTGTCCGTATCGGACACACGTGTCGAACACACGTATCCTATGTATTTTTTAGAATTTGCCTCGTGTCGGCGTGTCGGATGGCCGTGTCAGATCCGTGTCCGTGCTACATAGATGTCAGACATGACAACTGTCTGAAATCCAGACACTAAGGTGAAACTATATATGTATAAGGAATACAACATTCGCATATTTGACTCATAATGTGTATTTGTTGCTAGTCATGTATTTAGAAAAAGGCTAAAATACTAGGTTAGTCAAAAAAGTGACACCCATTTACCAATTTAGCCTAAAAAGACACCAACGATAATTTAGCCAAAAAAGTGACAAATATGATGACAAATAGGCATTTTTGGTGCCGGGGATGATTTTTTGGCAAAAAAAATGTAAATGTTGCATATAGACCCCTCATTGTCCAATATTTTTGAATTAAACCCGCTATTTTTTTTTTGAAATTTGTAATAAAAAAAACTTCCCTTCCCACCATCTCCTCCTTCCTACTTCCCACCATCCCCGCTATTCTCTTCTCCTCCAATCCCCAGCTTTCTTTCCTCTGTCCCACTTCTTCTCCATCCTCATACTCATTGTTACCTTCTCCTTTCCACCCTCTCCTTCATTCTCTTCTCTTCGCAATCCCCAACCTCCTATTCTTTCTCCCACTCTCTTTCCATCGTTCCGCCCACTCCCTCTTTACCCTCCAATCATTAAAAAGAAAAAAAATCTAACCTCCTCTTCCTCTCTTAGACCCAACATCAAGCATTTTATCAAACGCCCAACCTCATTCTCCTCTTCGTCTCTTACACACTCTCTCCCCCTTCCTTCCTTGCTCTGCCCACTCCTTCACCTTCCAATCATCAAAACACAATCTCCTCCTCTTCCTTTCTCGGACCCAACATCAAACATTCTACTTGAAGCATTAGGAGGGAGTGAAGAAGAGGGGTGAGAGAGATAGGAGAAGAACGAGGACAAAGAAGAGAGAGAAGCGGAAAAAGTTAAGAAGAGGTGGGTTTGGAGAGAGAGGGAAAGGAGGAAGTAATAGGGATAATATTGGAAAGGAAGAAGAGAGTGGGAGAGAGAAGGGGAAGTTGAGGA